AAATGAGAAAGGCAACATATATGGATTACAATGCAACTGAGCCAGGAAATTCAGCAATGCACTTGCTAAGCAGTAGGCACTGAAACTCGTGGGCACTCCATGAAACTGCAGAACGGTCGGGTTAGAACGGATAAAAGGAAGTACTTCTTCACCCAAAGAGTGATGAACACATGGAATTCACTGCCACAGGAAGTGGTGGGCGCTACAAGCATGGACGGCTTCAAAAGGGAATTAGATAAGCATATGGAGCAGAGGTCCATCAGTGGCTATTAGCCACAAGGTATAGCTAGGGGCTCTGGGGCAAGTGATGCTCTGTCTTCTTGGTGCTTGGGGGGGGGGGTCAACAGTGGGAGGGCTTCTAATGTCCTGGCCCCACTGCTGGACCTCCTGATGGCACTGGTATTTCTGGCCACTGTGTGACACAGAGTGTTGGACTGGATGGGCCTTTGGCCTGATCCAACATTGGCGTCTCTTATGTTCTTAAATGGCCTTGCTCAGTCTGAATACATAAACTGTGACATCATAGAGAAGATTTTTCCTGTTTTGAGGACTAGCATTAGCCTTACCAGCATTGGTGTCTATTTCATGAGTCATGTCTGCATACCTGAAACCACTCTCTCAGCATGGAGAAAGGGACATAAAGTGCACATTAGGGCTGTGTGAAACTGAAGTGGCTCTTAGAAGCAACTATGGAGAAATCAGTACTCTCTACAGGTTGCGTTTCAAAGTACAGTCAGAAATTCAGTTATTTTTGCCATCCATTATTAAAACAGATGCGCCCTGACTTCATCAGATCTCGGAAACTAAGCAGGCCTGACCTTGGCAAGTACTTGGAAGGGTGACCTTCAAGGAATACTAGGGCCAGGACGCAGAGGCAGGTAATATCTAGCCCTCTCTGAAACGTCATAGCCCCCACTAGGGGTTGCCAGGAGTCACCATGACTTCCAGGCTCGCAAGCACACACATACAAACAGCATTATTAAAACAGATGCCTACTAATTGAAACAGAGTGTGTTTGTGTGGTGGGGAGAAGCCTGTATATTTCATTTTACAGCTGTCACTGCAAGTTTTCAGATAGCAAAATAAGAAACATTGTTCTTCCTGACATACTCTGCTTCCCCAGTGGCTCTACACTGAAGCAGTAACTACCTCCCTCTCTGCTGCTAACTCTCATATTGCAATGAAAGAACACAGAAAAAAGAAATAAGGGCTGCGGTCACACGGAGCAGTAGCCATGCTACTGAGACGGATGATAGGCGGATTTTCCGGACGCGATCACACCACAGCATCTGGGAAGCGTAGAGCTTCTCTCTGAAGATGCGCAGTTAAAAACTAGTACCTCCGAGGTACTAGTTTCCTGTAACCGCGGGGCAAGGGCGGGCGTCTGATCGCGTTTCCGGTGGCATCTGGCGCCCGCCCATGTCTCCTCACAAAAAGGTGTGTCCACCCCACCCCACCCCGGGGTTCCCTTCCCAGCAGTGCCGTTCTCTTCTAGCGCAATTCAGATGAAGAGGAAAGAAGAGCAGACGAGTCGTCGTGGGGGAGGGGGAGAGAGAGCTTCGCCCCCGCCCCCCCCCCCCCCCCCCGGCACCTTCCCGGGATGAGCAATGCTGGCATCACCTCCTGGGCAAGGCACGAATGCCAGGGGTAAGGGGGTGTGTGATGACGACGCGGGGACTCAAGGGAAAGGCCATGGAGCAGGCAGGGGGGTTGGGGTACGATACGCAAAAATGTTTTTTTCAAGTCTCCATGGGATGCGCACAAGCACCCAACGGCGCAAGCGCACACTTCAGTTTAAAACCAAAACACAGCCCCGTTTGCCGCGCCGCTTCTTTGCCGCGTCGTGTGTTCAGCACCTCCCCCCTAACCACGGGACCTCGATGGGACGTCTGATCGCGCAACCACACATTATTTTGCACCGGGGCAAACAGCCACGCCCCCCAACCCCCCCCCCCCCCCCCCCCCCCGCATTTTCCTGCCCGTGTGACCGGGGCCAAGGCTATGTTGAATACAAATACAACTGCCATCAACTTCCTGATTTGCTGGTGCTAGAGCTAACCAATTTATTGCTCAAAGATCTTGAAGTAGTTCAACCCATGACAACTGAATTCACACAACAGCAGAGAAACTGCTTGGAAAACGAGAGGGGAAAAGGATTACTAGATTATCCTTTGAAAAGTGCAGCATGCCTTGTTCTATATTAGAAAGGCAACATGAATTGTGAACTGTGGCCAAACTGAAATGTTAAAAAGCCTTTAGAACTGATAATTTTCTTTCTGGAAGAGACAGATTTCAAAGATACGAATAGTATGTGTAACTGCCATTATGCTACAGTACATCTCTAGACCTATATACTGGATGGGATGTGTCTAGGAGTGGCAATCTGATCTGGAGAACATGTGATCAGACATAAGTTAACTAGCCCTTGCAGTGCTGTTTCTTCACTCTAAATTCTGACTCCCTAAGCTGCTATACAGCGCTCTTTCTATTTAAAGGATGTCTAGCAACAGCTATTGTATTTGGTCTTCCTGGAATTCTGGAGAGCTGTTCTTAGAGGACAACACTGAGCTAGTGACCTGATGGCGTTATAAGGCAGGTTCCTACGGAACTCTCAGATGTATTTGAATTTGTGAGGCTCTGTCAGCAACAAAGTTTTATCATTGATTAAGGAGGCAGGTGTGTTACAGACCAAGTCCCTTAACACAGTACCAACCTGTAGACTGTTGCTTTCTAAACATACCTACCACCTATTTACAGGGCAATAAATGAAAAGTGTCCACCTCCCACAATTAGGCAATGACTTTTAAGTTCTATACTACTTTATGCATAACTAATGTAAACAAATCAGGCACAGTTACTGCTTTAAGCACAACTACATAAGACCCCAGTTCTTGGGCTAAAATGTGAATATTTCTAAGGTAAGACAGGTGTGGTGTGCAGAAGCAGCAATGCATTCCATTATCCCCAGATCCAGTTCAGTTTAAGTCCAGCTCAGCCTAAAGCCCCCTTTCTTCTTGTTTCCAGCTACCATTAACTGGGCCCTTGGGAAAAGTCAGAAACAGTCATACATCCTCCATCATGTCTAAATCCAGCTCAGCAGAGAATCCCCTGGCTGAGGGACTTTTGCATTCAACTATGGGTTGGATCCAGCCAGCTTTTGTGCTCAATCTAATTCCCCTCCAGTCTCCACATCACAGGCCTTTTATCCATGCTCCCCAAGTTCTCTATCTTAGACTTTTTGGTGGTCAAAGGAGATCCTCTCTTCTCTTTTTCACCAATGCACTGTTATCTGCATTCACTTTTGATTTTTGTGGGCTGTTTCAAGAACCCAGGGTTTTGGCCAGAAAGTGGGATAAAGGTGTAAAACCCACTTGATGTTGCAAGCCCCTCTGGTTGCTTCTGATTGTGCGAACTCCCATCTGAAGTTAGCAATGCCACAGAATGACACGCGTCTTAACTCTCCCCCCTTGCCAATCGTACATGTAAATGGTGGCACTGGGGAGGGCTTGCAGCAGGCACAGTGTTAGCTTTGAATCCTGTGGCCAAGGATGACAAGAAACATTTTCCTATGGCTTGTGACAGCCCTGGGAACTGCTGGGGAGGTCCTGGCAGTCTGGATCTTAACAAGCCCTAATATAGCACTGCCTTGACCTGGACAGTCCAGGCTAGTCTGATCTTACTAGATTTCAGAAGCTAAGCAGGGCCAGCCCTGGCTAGTATTTGGATGGGAGACCTCCAAGGAATACCAGGGTCATGATGCAGAGGCATGCAATAGCAAACTACCTCTGAACATCTCTTGCCTTGAAAACCCTATGAGGTTGCCAAAGGTCAGGTGTGATACATATAGAGCACTTGCCATAAACTCTTCGTGCTGCGTTCAGATGAGTTTCAGAAAGCGAAGAGGGAAGGAATCTGCACCAGATCCAACTCAGAGCCCTGACAGTTGCTGAAAATCTTCTGCCATCAGGCCACCATTTAATTCCTCCAACTTACTTCTAATATGGGTCACGACTAAAAAGAATGTGCACGCCTAATTTTCAGTTTTCACAGGCGTTCTCGAAACAGTTAAGTATCTTCACAAAGGGATAGCTCTATCTATGCTATGGGTAGCCAGAAGGAATCCCCCCATTTTGCTACATAGTGAGTTAGTTGGGATGAGGCATTCAACATTTTCCAACTCAATTAAGACATTAAAAAACTTCAGAGGGATGGCAGATTATGATGGAGCTCACATTTAAGGTATGTGGAGATGGTGTGCAAGACTGAATGACTGATCCTACTGATATTTGCATTAGACTGGTGTATAGCTACACTATATCCCAAAGATTAGTTCACAATGGACAATTCTTTCATTTAACAGCATTTTACCTTATTCTCCTCTGCCAAAGAATCTACAAAGACCCAAGGCAAATGACAACATGCAGAAAACTTTAATCAATTGTGATTTTTTTTTTGATAGCATAAAAATACAGCTATAAACTTGGGGGAAGATTTTGTAATTTGTTAGTGAAGTGCCAATTTTATATTTTAGCTCAAACCTTTGGCAGCAAAAATATGATCAGGAAGATTTACCAAGCAGTACAATTCTTACAGAAAAGAGAGCCTGTGCTAGTCACATACATGAATTGACAACAAAACAAGCTATGAAAGTGTACAAATAACTATCTTAATACTAAACATTCCAAAGCATAGGGTGTGTGTATCTGTGTGTGAGTGTGTGTGTACATGGCACAATACACAGGACTCTTTGGGGAAGAAATGGTTATACATCAGTGAAAATCAGTTTAATCGTTTATTCTATATATTAGTAATTCGGATATTCCCCCCCAATATCCAGTTTTAGACCATAAAGCTTTGTTATTTCACCCATCAGTATGAACTTCAGCTCATCTATTTATGGCATTATACTAGCAGTACTATACAAAACAAGACCATGTGAAGTGTTTAGTTCTTAACGATATGCACTTTGTTTTCAAATATAATACTAGTATTCTTTTTACCCCATTACACCCTTTAAAAAGGGATGTAGAGAACAGGAGCCACTGCTGATTTATCCAGTCTCACTTCTACCTTGTCCAACAATGCTGAAAGGCATTCACTGTTTTAAACTTTGCAGCTCCTGTGGCAAGTCACAGCCAATGTAAACTCCATTGGATAAACTGTAGTCCAAGAAAGCATTAAAGCAAGGATCCTGCCAAAAAGAACGAAGATTGTAACAACTCTTCCAGGGCTGTTTAACACTAAACACTTACTAATTATTATTATTATTTATTAGATTTGTTAATCGTCCTATCCCAGCTTGCGCTGGGCAATGTACAGAACACAAAGTCATAAAATACAAAAAAATAAAATGCAGAATAAAATTCATATACAACCTAGTAGAAAATTCAGTACAGATAAAAGATCCAAGATGGCAATTTTCCTATTGTATTACTATCTCAATTTCGGACTACCAGTACCTTTTTTCTGGGCAGGGGAAAGGGAACTCAGAGCATCAAGGGGGGCAGGGGAAAGAAAGGGTGCCTGCTAATGGGTAACCGTTACTGCCCTCAAACAAAAGCCTGGTGGAACATCTCTGCCCTCCAGGCCCTGCAGAATTGCATAAGATCCCACAGTGCCCTGATGTCATTTGGCAGAGTGTTCCAACCAGGTCGGGGCCAGGACTGAGAAGGCCCTGGCCCTGGTTGAGGACAGCCGGACATCCCTAGGGCCAAGGATCACCAGCAAGTTATTCGTGAAGTTCTTCTGGGGACATACTGGAGAAGACGGTCCCATAGATATATTGGTTCCAAAGCGCTCAAGGCCTTAAAGGTTAATACCAAAACCTTGAACCTGACTTGGTACTCCACTGGAAGCCAGTGTAGCCGGCGCAGCACTGGTTATATATGTCCCATCTGTGACATTCCCATCAAGACTTACGCTATCACATTCTCGATCAGCTGGATTTTCCGGGTCAGTCTCAAGGGTAGGCCAGCATAGAGTGAGTTACAGTAGTACAATCTGGAGCTGACCACTACATGGATTACCATGGCTAAGTCAGGGCGTGACAGGAAAGCAGCTAGTTGTCAGGCTTGGCGAAGATGAAAAAATGCCAGCTGAGTAATATGTGAGACTTGGGCCTTCACTGATAAGGAGGCATCCAAAGTCAAATTTCAATTTTCACCTTTTCTTGCCACATCCTCTATTGAAACTGGCGAAAGGTCACCTACAGAAAGGATATTTCCTTATACAGAAAATGTGAGACGGTCTGAACCGATGTAAATATTACCCAAAAGATACTTCACATTACAGAGACAACAGCAACTTGAACCCCCATGCTGAAATTTAACACTGTCATGGAATGCCTTACTTTGGCAAGCACATGAGGATTTCCTACTATAATCAGCAGTGCCTTGGCTCTGGTAATTGCCACATTAAAACGCTTTGGATTAGTAAGGAAGCCCAAAAAGTGTCTGTCCTCTTTGAATGAGCTTTCATTTGAGCGGACCTAGAACAGAAACAGCAACATTAAATCCCAAAAGTCTGTTGCAGGCAGTTCTGTAGAAATGTACTTTTGTAAAAGAAAAACCTACAGCTTTTCCTATCGCAATAGTCTAATAATCAAGATAACAGTGAAAAACAGTATCTAGATTACTCCTTGCAGGTTAAAAACGTAAGATTCAAAAACTGTTCTCTCACAGACCGGTACAAAGTATGCCCAAATCTCACTGCAGTGTCTTGCATCACCACCTGTTGTGGGTATGCACCCTTAACTGTTAAATGCCAGACAGTATTTTGCTAAAGTCACCAAGAAATGCAGAAGAAATTTAGTTAACTAGTTTTGATAGTTAGTTAAAACCCAACGAAGTAAGCGTTCCCCAAATCAGGGCCCACCACAGCCAGTTTTGTAATATATAGTCAGCATGTCTACCTGATATCTGTAGTGGTCACTGCCAGACTCTGAGCCTTGCGTTCTCTCCTTACACTTATTTTGGTGCATGCAAATAGATACACAAAGTGCCTTATTACATACTGTTGATATGAGGATCACTAGGAACTCCTGCCCTTGAAACTCCTCTATAGATCCCACTTTGATTTCCGTCAGATCTACACTGCGCAAGAGAAGTCTGATTTTTTCCACCTGAAGGACAATGTAAAAATTAATTTTTAAATAATCTTTTTATTGGTTTTACTACAATAAACAAAGGTAAATCATATCATTTTATACAACAAAACGTTTCACTAAAGAGAGATGAACATACATTTCAGCACATATTTCTAACAATAGCTATAAAGAAAATTTTGTCCACCCCAGATATAAAGTTCATCAGGATTTCATTTCTATTGCTTGGTGTTTCTACAAAACTAATCAGTTAGTATTTTATTGCACAACCTTAAAAATCCATCTTAACACCTATATCTTACACATAACATCAAAAACAATCAGTTCTCTAAGCATAGATTAATCTATAGTACCTTTTATCTATAAACAAAACTGGGTTGATTTATTCCCTCTATTTTTCTGGTCCTTTTAAGCATTTTCCAGTTTCCTATGAACTGCAGTCAAATAACAAGCTTGAATTTCTTATTTCCTGTCTCTTTTCTTTAAACTTATATTATTTCTCTTTTTCTTCTTCAAATATTTATCCAAAATTTAATACCGTATATTGCTATTGTCCTACTCTAATCATATCCCGGTACAGCATTTAATCATAACCTAGTAAACCAAGAGAATTTACCAAAATAAACAGTTATTTCCTGTTTTTCTTTTCCCTCTCTTTCTCATTTGTTTTCTTATAAATTATATATAACCTCCTGTTCAAAAGTCTTTCTACCGTCTATCTCATTCCCTCCTGATTTCTTATTGTAGAGGCTTCCAGGCATGGCGCAATGTGCGGGTGCTTAGTCAGGACGCTCCTGACAAGCCCCATCCTTCTTCGCTATTTTGGAACACCCAGGGTCCTAGTGCACGTTGGGGGATCACCAAGCCTCTCAGAGGGAGGTCTGGCAGCAAGAAACTTGACCAGGCGCCCCACAAACGGCGGTAAACGGGGCGAGACTGAGCTGTTTCAACACAGGAGCGAAGAATGGGACATCATGGTTCGCCATGTTCTCAGCTGCGATTGCCTGTTTTAACTTTGGATTTTCAATATAATATACAACAAAGCCAAGAACGTGAGTAGCGTATAATTTCTAGATAACTCGGTGAAGACCCCCCTGAGCTAACTGCATAGGAGATTCTCCAAACTTTTGGAATGCGGCTAGTTAAAGACTTGGAGTAAAAGATAATAAAATGGTGCTGGCAGGGAAGAATGAGGAACTAATTGCAGGACAAACTGAGGAGATGGATTTAGAAGAAGAAATTGGATTTATATCCCGCCCTTCACTACCCAAAGATGTCTCAGAGCGGCTTACAAACTCCTTCCCCTCCCCACAACAGACACCCTGTGAGGTAGGCGGGGCTGAGAGCTCTTGACAGAAACTGCTCTTTTTAAAGAACAGCTCTTATCAGAACTACGGCTTGCCCAAGGTCATCCAGCCAGGAGGAGTGTGGACTCAAACCCGGTTCTCCCATATTAGAGTCCGCGCACTTAACCACTACACCAAACTGGCTACACCAAACTGTAGAAAATACAGAAGTTGGTCAATTATCTTTGGAACAATTAAAAAAGTTTCTGTTCAATGAAGTACGGTCGGCAGTTGAAAAAGCTTCTAAAAATGCTTTTGAGAATCTACAGAAAACAGGCTTGGAATGTACAAACGAAGAGGAACCACTACAGTCTCAGTGGAGTGCAGAGGATTTAAAGAGAGAACAAAACTATAACCAAAATAAGGAGATGCAAGACATGCCTTTTGCAGATATGGGGCAAATATCCGGAGAAGTGAGATTTAAAATTTTTTCCTGGGAGGTGGGACTGGCAAAAAGCGGAGCTGAAGAATTAATGCAAGGAGAGACGTTTCAGGTGGCCAAAAAGGGAGCAAGATGCCCTTCAGGAAAAAGTATAAAATATAAAAGGGAAATGAAGACAGAATAGAAGAGACAGGAAAAACAAAACATGGGAGCAAATTATCAGAAATAAAGAGTTAAGACACTTAAGTAAGAGAAGGTCATTCTGGAAAATAAAGTGAAAACAAATGAGACTTTAAAAACTTTCCTTGGAAGTGGGACTGGCAAAAAATGGAGCCGGAGAACTAACGCAAGGAGAGTCGTTTAAGGTGGCCAAAAAGGGAGCAAGACGCCCTTCAGGGAAAAGTATAAGATATAAAAGAAAAATGAAGATAGAACTGAAGAGACAGGAAAAGCAAAACGGGGAAGCAAATTACCAGGAATACAAAGACACTTAAGTATGATTAAGAAGAGAAGGTTGTTCTGGAAAACAAAGTGAAAACAGGCAATGTGCGTTTGGAGACAGAACAACTTTTTTATATCTTTTATAAACTTCACGAAATGATTAGACATAGGTGATATGTACTAATGGCAGAATTGGCAATGTCTATTAAATGGTAGAATAATTGCCCAAATTGATAAATGTAAGAAAGGGTGGCTAAGATGGAAATGGAATTAATTGATTCTTGTTTTTGGTTTTTTCTTCATAGCTTAAAGATATCTTCTAAATATTATTTGCACTTGTATTGTATTGTTAACATAATTAGTAGCGGGTGGTAAAATGTGATTAAATAATTAAAATAAGGAGATATTATTTTTAATGTAAACAATTTCAAAGTAATTTCAAAGTAAAAATATTATTTTAATGTAAACAATTTCAAAGTAATTTTAAAGTCAAAATTACTTTTAAGTTGTCATGTTTACAGCTAACATTTTAAAGCACCCCATGGTCTGAAGAAAAGAAGGGTTCAAGCATTAAGGATTTCAATTGCATCTTCTTGAATTAATTTTCTAGCACAATGGAGGTAACATAAAAGAGAAATAATGCAAGAACCACCATGCAGGAACAGACTAAGGGACCATCAAGTCCAACATACTCTTTCATACAATGGCTGGCTAGGTGTCCCTGGAGAGTCCAGAGACGGGGCATGGAGGCCAAAACCTTCCCAAACACTGGCATTCAGATAGTTACTGCCCATGAAAACGAATGTTCAATTTAATGACCATGCCTAATTGACAGACATATACTCCATTTTAAAGGCCGCTAAACTAGTGGCCATCACATTACAACCTCTGGTAATAAACAACAACCTAACTGTAGATTTCAGTGAAGAAGTAGTTTCTTTTGCCTGTTCTGAACTTACTGCCTATTCTCATTAGCTATTCCTGATTTCTAGTATTATGGGAGGAGCTTCTTTACCCACCTCAGCCTTTATAAGCTTCTAGTGCCAAGAACTGTCTGTTTACTTGTACACCAGGGTTCCTCAAGATGGTGCTCATGGGCACCAAAGAGCCTGCTGACACGTTTCCTGGTGCCCAACAAGTGTTTTTAGAAAGTGGGTGGGGCCAGGTGGTGCTTTTGCCCAACAAGGCTTCTGATTGGCTGTGTTTTTAAAAAACATTGCTGTGGCCACCACAGCACAAAGATCTTTACCATGTGATGGAAGATAAGCTGCAGCAGCCATTTTGTGGCAGGCTCCACCTCCTGCAGCAGCCATTTTGTGGCTGTGCCCACCATGCTGTATCAGAATTCTAAAGGTGCTCGTAGACTCAAAAAGGTTGGGGACCCATGTTGTACACTCTGCTTTCTGTTTTAACCATTACTGTCCATATGTCCCACAACTATTAAATATACTCCAATGCCTTTGATGGGGGATTACTAACAAAAGATTTTTAGAAGTCCAACTATATACTGCCTACCAAACTGTCTTTGTCCATGTTTACTAATCCTCTCAAATAATTCTAGAAAGGTTGGACTGCAAGGTCTTCTTACAACACACTAATTCTTTCTTAGTAAGACTTAATGCATTTAAGAATTGGAGTAGTTTCTACCAATTTATCTAGAGGAGACATTAGGCTAACTTGCCTATGTGATTCCCTGGTTTTTCTCATGGTAACATTTTTAAGCCTGATGTTTCCTAGAATTGGCTGGCTGGTTTTAGCCAACATTGTATATTTTTGATAAACAATTTAACGCCTGACTGAAGAACTTTTGGATATATGACATCCAGACCCATCCCACCAGATTTCCCAAATGCCAGCTATAGCTGTGTCCTCATTTAACTCTTGCCACTCCAATTCTCCTATCTTAGTTTAGCTAGAAATGAGTCTAGTAGCATCTTAAAAACTAACAAGATTGTTGGTCTCTAAGGTGCTACTGGACTCAGATCTAGCTGTTCATCTGCAGACCAACACATTTATCTGCTGAAAATACCTTAGTTTACAGGCTTCTATCACCAACGTATTAAAATATCTACACTTTTTTCCTTCTCCAAACTCCCTCAGCATGCACATATCCCCTATGACCATTTGCTTATGCACCTGCAGATGCTTCAAACGGTCCAGAATACTGTCACTTCAAAAACAAAAATTGGGGGGGGGGGAGCTTAGCTTGCTGAAGGCCTTGAGAGCCTATGGAATCCTAGGAGGAGAGGTTTGGGGTACAAGTATGTATGCAAGCACAAACATACCCATTTTGTGTAAAGTTGCGTTCTAATGTTAGGAAATGACAATTTCTGCTTGTAAAATCAGAGGCAGAATCTACGTATCTACATATCGAGAAACATGAGCATATGAGAGCCAGTTTGGTGTAGTGGTTAAGTGCGCGGACTCTAATCTGGGAGAACCGGGTTTGAGTCCCCACTCCTCCACTTGTACCTGCTGATGTGACCTTGGGTCAGTCACAAGCTCTGGCACAGCTGTCCTTGAAAAAGAGCAGTTTGTGTCAGAGTTCTCTCAGCCCCACCCACCTCACAGGGTGTCTGTTGTGGGGAGGGGAAGGGAAAGGAGTTTGTAAGCCGCTCTGAGACTCCAAGTGAAGGGCGGGGTATAAATCCAATCTCTTCTTCTTCTTCTATACTAGGAATAATAAAATTGTCGTGAAAATAAATACAACGAGCTCTAGAAAGAGGCTCTTGGTGGGTGTCCTGGCCTCGGTCACTCAGCGTCAATTTGCTATGCTGACCTCAGCAGGGTATAATGACACAGAGCTTACCGTTTTCTCCAGGGGAACTGATCTCTGCCATCTGAAGAGC